CCATGGCAGCTCAATGAGCAGCACTGGATAAGACGGATAAGGAGCCGTGCATATTGGGGATGGAGCGTTTCCAAGGTGATGAGACACTTCCAAAGCCTCAATTGTTCCTGGTAAATGGATCAGCATCATCATACCGGGCTCCTGGCCTAATCTGGACTGTGGATAGCAGGTAGTGGGAGGATGGGAAGGTACACAGAGAATATTTTTAGCTACATAAGCTTAAGGTTTGGCAATGTTGGTGTGTGTGTTGGTCAGCTGCTTGATCCGGACCGAAATATCAGGCGTTTGATATTTATTTACAAGCGCAAAACCATCATAAACGCTATCCCAAGAAATCTTGTTTAAAGAGCTGGTCTAGGTTATTTTATTTAAAATATTACTCCCAAGGAAACAACAAAATCCATCAAAAGTAAAGATCTGTCAACCGCAACCAGGAAATGTTTAGTTTTAGCAGACAAAGACCTTCAGACACACAGATAGGCCTACTGCCATCTCCCTCAACTGGTTCAAATATCTAAAAAAACAAATGTGAACTGACTTACTTACAGGGGCGAGAGATAGATTTAGAGATAGGACAGTGTGTAGTGAGAAATTGGGGAGAGAGAGAGAGAGAGAGAGAGAGAGTGGGGAATGACATGAGGGAAAAGAGCAACAGACCGGATTTAAACCCGGGCCGCCCGCTTGGAGGACTACAGGCCTCTGTTCAAAAAACAAAATAGGTCTGATTAGTTATTGTCATCAGTGGCACACACTGTACGGGGTCGAATTTTTTCGAAACGCCTGCGGTTTAATTTTGAAAACGATACGTGTTCTCCATAGTAAGGCGCGTAGCTGACCTGATTGACAGGCGGGCGCGGTGTAACGGTTTGTCAGGAGGTTTAAATCCCGCCTCAGCTCCAGCTCTCAGCCTGTCGTTAGGTTGACTCAAAGTTAGGCTGAGACAGCATTTCCAGCATGGAGACTGCCATTGATGGGACTCCAGCGCCCCCTGCAGGAACAGACGGGCGACGTCACTCAGGCTTCAAACATTCATATTCACAGTCTGTGGGCCCACACACTAACCGCTAGGCTACCGACGCCCCCTGATAAATATAGTTCTGCAAGTTAGCCAGTGTCCAGGGGCCGATTGCACCAACAGCTACGACTTGCCATGAGCTAAGTCGATCTTTATTTGGCATTCCCAGTCCGACCTGGCACCATGAAGTTTGTTTTTTCAAGATTCAGTGATCATTTATGTATATCAAACCATTCTTTCATTTTCTTTCCAATTCCTTTTTGACCAAATCCAAATCCTGGAATAAAACTAAGTAAATCAGTAATCAGGCAGTGCGTGGTAAAGAGAGGATATTGGTTGTCGGAGGTGAAAGGTGGATAAAACGTGTGGATGTTGTGATCTCCAATCAATCCTCTGTTCAGAGAAGTCAACATGAGGTGTTCTTTTTGTCCTGTCCGCAGCCTCACATACAGCCATACAGCAAGTGTTTCAAAGAAAGACGTCCACACAGAGAGTAGCTAGAAGTGGAGTTGATGAAAGAGGAACATGTGTTGTGAGTGCTGGAGGCGACTACACTCGCACATAAACACAATCTATCAGGGCAGGGCACCTCCCATGAGCACACTAAAAGCTCTTTCATAGCATTCAAAGGCACTCTGCGCTCTCAATCAATGGAAAGTTGCCTGCCAGGCTGTGTTACTGGAGACCAGAGCTTGGCTTTTTACACTCTGTGGTTTGATAAGGCTCTGATTCAACACCACGCAGAGAGCTGCCGGCCATCCAAACAAAGGCCGGGTCTAAAGCTTCTCGGCTTTATCGCATGTCAGATAGCAGCGCGTCATGTAGTTCAGATCAGGAGAATGTAGACGTTTTATCTCGTCAAACTATTTTAATAAGACCAACACGCCTCAGGGAAGCTGTGAAAAACCCGCAAATTTTAAACACGATCAAGTCCAGGGAGACTCGACAGCTTTGTAAACTCTCAGCGTTTGATCCAACGGCTAGAATTCACTCGATGCAAAGTTTTGTAATTCAGTTCAATTTGAGTGAATCGTGTCACATTCAGAGTTTTGACATAAAAAAAAGACCTGGATGCAGACTTTGAGGATTCATGTCAACAAACAGTCCAAACAAAAGGCTGGCGGTGAGTGGCCCGGGAGATTCAGGCGTCGTCCACACGTAGGCGGGTATTTTAGAAAAAGTATCTTCTTTCTATACCTTTCGTATACAAAAGGCGTTTTAGGTCACTGAAAACCCACCTTTAGGAAAAGTCCTTCCAGAGTGAAGATTGCTCTTATTGTTCACGGTGAGAAGGCAGAACAAACACCTAGCTGTGGGAGTGTCACCCACCTGGGGGAGGGGCTACTGCCCTTTGTGATGTCATGAAGGGAAAATCTCCAAACGGCCTGTTTGAGCACACATTTTCAAAAAAAATGGAGCAGGGAAAAGGATGGACTTTTCTCATCATTGGGGGGTTTGTAGACAGACAAGAGACACATATTAGTGTTAGAGGAACATGGTGAAGTGGATTTGAGATTTGACATCATATGTGACCTTTACCACCACTGTTGCCAATTTCTGCAGATGGAAATTAGCTTGTTAGCTAAATCCGGTATAAAGCATCTTTCTTCTTCTGAGATGTTTTTATGTACTCTGTCCCTGATTCAAATAAACTAATAAACTAAACTAAACAAATATAAAGTCATTTATCTCATGCATTGATGCGGGTGTTATGTCAACTTGCAACTTCAGTTTGGCCTCACTGTCAATGTTCAGGAGTGCTTGCATTGGAAACATAAATATTTATGGCGTACTCTGTTCCTCTTAGGAATGTCAAATACTTGAACTCATGAATAATTCTTCACACTCATAACAGCAACCAAAACGTCAATCTGTGCAACTTACTGACGGAGCTTTCTGTAGGCTCCAAACTGTGAATTATTTACTGCACAGGGACATTAAAGTGAAACTGATCCATAAAGATTGATCGATTCAACAGATCCTTTCTGTGTCTGCTTCTGTGTTTAGATTAGAGATCAACTTCGAGCACAAAACTGCAGATAATGTCCCGTTTGTTCTTCCATACATAACATCTAATCTTTGTCATCTTTTAATACATAAATAACAGATAAGAATCAAACAGAATCAACTGTGTTATTGTCACTCTAACCACATCACAGCACTCAGTCATCCTTGTGTAGACATACAGCAGAGCAGGGGTGTGTCCAGACCTTTTTTTTGGGGGGGGGGGGGGGGGGCAACTGGGGCTCTGACTTGTGCAGGGGTGGCCTGAAGTTTGTGTGCACAAACATGAATAAGGACCATTCATTTCCCCCTTCTGTCTGCACTGACTCATCCACTTCTCAGTAACACAAGATAAAGGCAACATATTCGTCATTCTTCAAGGACTCAAAGAAAAAAAATGGTAGTCCAAAGTCACGATTTAAAGGATTTTAAATATTTCAAATAAACATCTGCACGCTGAAAACTACGAGCTGCTCATTGCAACACAGCCTGAATAGCGGATTTCATCATAAGTCCCGCCTCTGGAAAGGCCAACAACCATTCATAGTTAAGGATTTTAGGGTAGCACCATAGGCCGATAAGATTAAAGGCTTTATATGCGATTTTTTGCACCAGCATGAAACTAAAACAACTTGCGGTGCATTGTTGTGTTAGCATGCTAATGCTAGCGATCTTTATTGTGCTCGTATCTTCACACTGCATGTAAATTTACCTGAAATGAGCGTGAAACTCAGTTAAGCAGTGAGTACAGTATGTTATTCTTCTTTTCTCTAGTCCCTCAATTAAACAACTTTTATTTGCGAGGGGAGGAGTCAGCCGTCGTCCCGGCACTATAAACAATGACTCGGAAAACTCGGAAAACATCACAGACAGCGGGACTCGGGTGTTACACCCATTGTAGACAGTCATGACTCAGAGTCATTTTCAGATGATATACTTGATTTCTATTACATTTAAGTGTGAAAAATCGCATATAAAGCCTTTAAAGGGGGCAGACACTGGCCACCCCTCTGGAAACTTTTATTTTATGTAAAAATGAATGTTGTTAATGTAACTCTCTTTATGCAAGAAAATCTGATTTCTCGTACAAGAGTCTCCTGAAACTCGAGCATGTAGTCAGCGTGGGAGATTTTAAAAACAGGATAAAGGACAGGGGCGTTTGGACACACCCCTGCTAAGGATCGCACGTTTCTGTGCTTATTGGTTCTGATTTGTTGATGCCGTTTTTTGTTCTTGGTCTGATACTTTGATGCTGCTGTCTTGGCCAGAAAAATAGATCTTGTATCTCAACGAGAATATTTTTTTGCTGGTAAAATAATTTTTTAAAAGTGCTAAATTTAGGCTCTTTTTTCCTAATAAATATAAAGTTATATTGTTTATAAGACAAATGTAAATCTGTTCTTAGCTTGGCTGTGCTGCTTATGAGATATATTTCCTTATTTCAAGATGCGTGCATGTGAACTGGATTTATTTTATTTTGCAGATAAATGAACATTGAACACATTTTCATTTAATGGGGACTTTCAATCAAGAGAAGCAAACAAGATCTGCACAACGAAGAGCTCCCGTTTCAAGGATTTATTGAAAAGTCACGTCCTCGTACTTTAGCATGTTGACTCTTTGCTGTGCAGATCTTGTTTGCTTCTGTTTACCTATTCCTGTTTTTGGATCCAGCATCCACTTAGGGATTCTTACCAGGTATTTCTCTCATCTTTTCATTTCATTCCTTTATACTTCGGTTTCACTTTTTGCAGCAATCGGCTCACCAGATGTTGCTCAAACACGTCGGCCTCAGGGTTAAAAAAAAAAAAGAGTAATCATTTACCCAGAAACATAGCAAAGAGTCAGAAGCATGTGACTCATGAAATCAGCCAGGTCAAGCAGAGTGAGTGCCAGACCACAGCAGCCAGTCAGCTGACCGACCAACTGCACGCAGGAGAGGGGGGGGGGGGGATGATGAAACACACCAGGACTGCAGGCAGTGAAGCATAAAGGACCGTTTATTGTACCCAGTACAGATTATAATAAACTCAGCAGTGTAAGAAACACATTGTGAGGGGAGGGGAGAGGAGGGGACGGGGGGGGCTGAAGCCGATACAAGCGCAGACTCCCCCCCGTGCTCGGGATGGATCCCATGATAACGTGTGCGTCTTGGTTTTGGCCTTTGCTGGAACTCTGGCCTTTTACGTGCACACATTTCACCGGCGAGATAAAAACCTCCATCTCATCCGAACCCAAACACAAGAGGCCTCTTAAAGAAACAGTCTGCAGGAGGAGCGCCGTAGGGATCCGTTTGAAAAAGGAACATGTCTATTAGAGGCAGATCTATACAGCTTATACATCAAAACAAATGCAGCCTTATAGCAAAAATATATACTTTTATATACGTTTTGTCTTTGCCCCGGTTCAGAAACATACATAAAGAACACAAAAATAAAACTGCAGAGAATATCACAAATATCTTCCTTGTCCAAAGACAGTAAAGCGATATGTTAGTGGACACTTACACCATGCAAAGAGAAGCAGAAGTCTCCGCTTGACAACTTGTGATCGGCAGAGGTGTCCAAAAAGAAGGTCGTCAAAATGTCTAAATAAAATACAAAACTTCTGTTTTTTTTTGCATGCAACTTCCTGATGCTCCTGCCATACTGGTGCATCAGAGGAACTAGTACATCGACGAGGAAACATGAAGCACCCAGACAGGAATACAAAAAAATAAGAAGGGAGGAAAATCAACGTTTATCATACATGATGTTAGGCGTTCACGGGAAAATATGTACTCGTGTATCCCTTTTGAAAACAGAGGAGATGGAGTGCTAATCATCTGGATAAAAAAGGACCCAGCAGTGATAAACAAACATGATACAGAGGAGTGTACTGTATAGACTCTTACCGCAGGGGTGCAGTCTCTAAAGGGAAGCAGATACAATCTGTTACACGGGGCGGTACGATTAAAAGAACGTTCAACACGAGAGAGAGAGAGCAGCCCGACTGACTAGCCTGAAAATACAGCAACGCCCCAGAAACCTGAGAGGCCCGGGTCTCAACCAAAGTGTACAAACAGCTGGCATATTTAAAAGAAAGAGGAGTCCTATCTACAGAAACACAAAGTCGTCTGTGGGATTAGAAGATGCTGTTCTCTTGTCAATCCGTTGTTTTTGCAAATTAAAGCCCTTTAACGGATCTTTGTACTTTGAGATGTGGTGACGTGAACATGTGGGGGACGGGGACCCAAAAAGGCAACGATAGAATTTAGATTTTTTTTTAACAATTTCACTCTGTTTTTAGTTTTAAGAAAAGCAGATTGTCACAAAATCAGAAATGCAACTTGTCTTGCTGTCAGTTCTTCTTAAAGATGGCGGCGTGTGGCCCCGCCTTGTTTGGTCTCTGAAGAAACAGCGGCGCCCTGGTGGGGCAGAGCTACTGAGTCCAGTTCATCCTCACTGGTTCCTCTCCTTTTCACTCTTATGTCGCAGGTTTTACCCCTCGTTTGTAGCTCGGGGGCTTCTTGAGTTTTTCCGGAAGGTTTTCCAACGAGCCAAGAGTGCGAGGTTCATCTTCCCCGCAGCTCAGCAGGTCCAGAGTGGGCATCAAGGGAACTGTTTGTGCACATCGATGTGTGTCGTGGGTCGGGACTTCTTTAGTAGCCGTAGCCGTCTGGGAAGGGCAGGCCGGCCACGCACTGCTCCGCGGCATCCAGCAAGTAGGGGGCAGCGTCGTCGTAGTGGGTGAGGGGCACCGTGTCGTCGTCCAGCCCTGGCAGGCTGTCGGGGTCCACCTTCAGGTTGGGCCTCTGGTTGTCGGGGAAGGCCATGGAGAAGAGGGCCTCGGGGTCGCACACAAACTTGTACACGTACCTCTCACCTGCAACCTGAGGGACGAGATGAGACACTCTTAACTCCTGCACAAACTGAATGCATAACATTATATTTATGAACATGTGATTTATATTCCATAGACTGCTTACAGTAAAGACATATCACTCAATATAAAGGTAGCTTCACTCATGCTAAACCGACTGAAGACCCTTTTGTTTTATGACTTTGGGCAAATATGTGGTTTCAGCCTGTAGCCACAAAGAGACGGTAACGTCTGCAATCATAAACTTAAAGGTAAGCTCCTGCACGCTGTTCAACTTGACACTTGAGTCTTGCTGAAAGACACATCTGACATGTGGCTGCAGGAGCTGGGGGATCGAACCCCCGACCTTCAGTTTGAGAAGATGACTGACATGCGTCTGTTAGATACCCGAACATGTCAAATCAGGGTCTTGGTTTATAAACAGCAACGAAAAAGACAAAAGAGTGAACGTGCCTTTACCTTCTGCATGATGCCCTTCTCGTAGTAGTAGCGCAGTGAGCGGCTCAGCTTGTCGTAGTTCATGGCCGGTCGGTTCTTCTGGATGCCCCAACGGCGAGCAACCTGAGGACACAAAAACACGACTTCCTGTTACGCGTCTGTTTTATTTTCATCATGAATGGCCAGATGGCGATGTCAGCGGGACACACTGTAGCCCGCCAATAATTTCAAAGACAAGAAGAAGAACGTGACGCAGTAAACAAAGGACAACAATGAAGGACGTCCAGCAGAGAGGGAGATTCAAACATTGGCCTGTTCTGTTTAATTAATGCTGTCAAACAGGAAGTGACGATTCTTTAAACCAATCAAAGGACTGCAGTTTTACTAGCGCCGCCCTTTATGGTCAGATCGGTACGTTTGGCACCCCAACAGAAGAGCAGCATAGAAGTAAAATTGTACAGATCAGTATTTTGGCATCGTTCCAACTTCTGAGCGCGGAAACCATGTTCATTTAAAAGTTCATTATTGGTTTGATTCTAAAAACGAGTTCTTTCTTGGCATCTGTGTGCTTTGAGTACTGACCTCCTCAGGCTCGATGAGCTTGAACTCCATCCCACGGCCGGTCCAGGCGATGAAGTGACCGTTAGCAGGGTCGTCCAGTAAAGTGACCAGGAACTGCCAGAGCTGCAGGGAGCCGCGGCGCTGGTAGGGGGGGCCGTCACGGTACACGGAGGGCTCCTGTTTTACTTTGCCTGAAAGTCAAAGAAGAAGGGAAAGTTATCTCTGGTAGATGTTTCCCATCAGTTTTAACGTGGTCTTATTATTTCAGTACGTCGTTAGATAATAATGTGTCAGTTTGTGGTTCATTTGTGCCAACATAAAAGAACAAATCCTCTTTTATGGGAGCGCAGAATGAAGTGCAGAGAGATGAAAAGAGGCAGAAAGAGAGAAGTGAAAGTATCAGTCAGAGCGGCGCTCCAACGCGGCACTGTGGTGAGAAATTCCTGCCAGATGGAGGCTGTGAAGCGGATTGCTGTTTGTTATGCACCACGAGCTGCAGATCTGATTCTGCCTCTCAAACTGAGCACACTATCTGAACTCATTGTTTCTGTCATCCTCACCTTCTAATCGCTCAGGCACCACGCAGGTGTCGTCAAAGTACAGCTGATGATCTCTGTCGAAGGAGAAACCTGCGATTGGAAAAAAAAAAAAGCAGAAGAAAAAGCCACATTAACTAAAGGATATTTAGCCGCAGACAGAGCGTGGGAACTTGGCTTTTCTTCTGACATAAAGGCCAGCGTCCACGTTCAGCCCAAGAGATCCAAACTGCATGCAAAGCAATATAGCTGGGCAGCGTCCCAAGAGTGGAAGGCTTGTATTGTGCTGAGCCGCTGCCAGCTGCAGCTACACAGCATCCATTGATACATTCACTTCCCCTTGAGCTGACACTTTTAACGCCGCTGACCGTTTTTCTCCCACCCAGCCATCAGCGAGCCGAGCTTCCAGCAGCTCGATTCACAGGTTCAGGGTGGCAGAGGAACAGCCTTGGCTTAATGCAATCATTCAAACACCTGGGACTCAAAAAGGGAGACAATCATCTGAAACTTACTTTCATGGTTATTCTGGTAGAAGCTCCCCGCTCTCCCGAACGATGACTGACAGTTAGGCACTTCTGTAAACAAAGAAGAAGAGGGTGTAAATTTAGACCAGAGACACCCTCACTGTCATATCAAATGTGTAATAAGTCAAAATCCACCCCGCAGCTGACAGATATATTTGGATCTGTGCCACCGTGTGCGGCTTTGATACTTAGCCTCGCTGTGTGTCTGACTATAGACGAGGCTAAAGGCTGATATAGGATTTCTGAGGCTGCTACCGATATAGGAGGCGTACATTTCACACATTATAAATACTGCACCCAACATATAGCCTGTTTTTTAGAGCTGGAATGAAACTACACTTTGTTTTAGTGGATCGTGCATTGATACAAAGATAAAAAAAACATTGAAACCTGAAAGGCAAAGACAACAAATCGAAAGTTGAAAGAAAGCCCAATATGAATTTTGATGCCAGCGACATGTTCTGGAAAGTTCTGCGACAGGGTTGTGTTTATCATGCTGTTGCATCACTTTGTCTTTTAACAACACTTTTAGTGCTTTCACATCCGCAGAACACTCCTGAAGTTAGCAGGAGGAGCTGCATGTGTGAACACAAACAGACAAAAGTTTTCACTCTGAGTTTCTCCTCCAGCCATCTCTACCATCTCCGTGCTCTAATGAACCTGCTGCATTATGTTTCCTGTTCTCCAGTATGGTCTTCTCCACTCTTTAGTTCACATTGAGATTCTGTTCAACTACACATAGCATTGATAGAAAGACACATATTCTCATTAGAGACAGTGCACTTCTCTTTGACTCTCTGCAGCTTTTGTGAGAAAAAAGGACTGATTTCTAAAAAAGCTTTTTGATACAATAAACATTCAATTTACAGAGACTGTATGGTTTGAAATATCAAAGTGTCCAAAACGCTGACAACCTTAAGGACTGAGGACTACATGATGGCCTCTTTTTGTTGTTGGCCTGTAGCTGCAACAGCTGGGCTGCAAAATGCCTGATCCCAAACGCCCACACACCGCCCAGACGAGAGAGCAGCACACCACATCCCTCGCATGTCCACCCAGCTTGTAAATAAGATTAGCACCATGGCTGCTGTTTTAAATCTCAGTGACAATCGAGTTACACCAGTCCTCCCCCCCTGAGGGTCCAGGCCTGTCTTCCGTTCTTAGCGTCTCTGCAGTGCTGTCCAACCCCCGCATATTATTCTGTTTCCTGTCTGCTGATAAGACGAGCAGAAATCGATCGTCAGAAAGTGTTTCTTTACGGCTAGTCCTCCCTTTAGGAGAGAGTCTGCAGGAGGTTCTTAGCATGTATGCAGAGAAACAGAAATCATGATAGGCTGATAAGACTGGGATTAAAAAAAAACTGGGGTTTGATTTCTGGTTTTGTTGGTATCTACAGACCACCCACACTGCAGTAACAACATGTTCCCTGTTGGAATGCCGAACATGCACTTCTCCCGTCCATCTACAGATGCTAGTCCTCAGTGACGTAGGTATTTAAAGGCCATAAGAAGCTAAGAGGATTTGTCATTACATCACTGCCCAGCCAGCCGGTCACCAGCCACCAGGCAGGAAAGGAATGAGAGTGTTTGAGAAAAGATGAAAAAGAGTCGCAGAGTATCAGGCGATGTTAATGCAGCAGAGCGAGGGGACAACAGCTGGGTGTGTGGGCGTTGGGATCAAACAATGCCCCGACAGTGGCTCGGCCTTGTTTGCTTTGTACCACGTGAGCAAACAGCCGTCACTGCCGGGACGAGGCTTTTTTGGAGAGGATGGGCACCATTTGGCCTCTTTTGTGTTCTGTAAGAGTTTCCAGGCTTCTTATAATCGACCGCTGTGCTGCAGGTCAATGAGTCCTCTGCAGGCGTTGGCCTAGATCTATTCCAGGTAGGCTCAGAGAAGAGGCTCTATGCACCTGGCTGGATGAGTGACCCATTTACTTCTTGCCCTTGAAGGCTTAGGCTGAGCTAAGAGACCCACTTTTACTTTACTGCTGTGACTCTGGAGGAATGATGCAGATTAGGACTCTGAAAGTGCGTGTGTGTGTCTGTGTGTGTGAGAAATGAGCACCTGTGCCATCAGTGCTAAAACTCACAGGTCTGTGTCGGTGCCCAGAACAAACATGGCCAGGCACATTCCTCAGCCCGCTCTCCCCGCACACAAACCTGAGACAATCACTTCCCCAGTGCGAGCAGAGTCGGAGAATGCTTCACCGTATTTACTCAGCGGGAATCTCAACAGCTGTTACAGAAACGTACCGCTGTGGTCTCAGTTTGCAAGTCATAGAAGTCGAGAATCTGACAAACTGCATCATGTTACCCAAGAACCACTCGAGTGCTAAAGTTAGCTGACGCTGCTCAAAGGAGCTCAGATACTTTGTTCTTGTTTTTATTACTTTTTAAGTCACAGAGCAGTCAAAAAAAGATTTGTCAGACTGTCTACTTTTAATATGATTTGCATCCTGGAACGACTCCATAATTTCATTTTAGCTTCCAATTGGCGTGACATCAGATCTGCTGTGTGATAACTTGAGATCTTTGTCCTTCAAGCCCGTTTGACCTGCGGCTCCTTTCGCCATCTCATGCCCCCCCCCCCCCTCTCTCTCTCTCTCCAATTTCCCGCTCTGTCCACGGTTCTTTCCAAATAAAAGCAGAACCGCTCAAAAATAAATCTCTTCTCCAAACCGTTAAACTCACCAGAATCAAAGCAGAAGTCCCGAGGCTCCTGCTTGATGGCCATGGGGTGGAAACCGGCCTGGCGTTGAGGCCCCTGCGGCGGGACCGGGGGGCCCATGGTGGGGACGCCCTGCTCGGTGTATCGCGGGTCGATGAGCTCTTGTTTGAACCCCTGTGGAGGAGGAGCGGCTACCAGCGGCTCTGACATCTGCCGGTGGTACGGTGGCCGGCTGTCTCGTGGCAGACTGTTGTTGCTGCTGTTTGGAGGCTGGGGCAGGAACTGGGGGCGTCCTTGGCTGTCAGATGGCGGGAAAGGTAGACATGGCTCTGACATCTGCCTCTGGAACCTGCACACGAGGGGCAAGAAGAAGAAAGACAACTTGTTTACAGCTCTTCAGGGTTGGAAAGCTCTCACATGGTTTAAGTCGTTATGTGGAACTCTACAACAAAAACTGTGAGCTTCATTATCTCACTCCCAATTAAAAACAAACTGGAACACAGTAAATCTAAAAGCTAATAGGACATGAGATCTGTCATCGGGCAGCTCTGTGTTTTTGGCCTGAGGGTCTCAGTGTGAATTTTGCCCATTTGGAAACTCAGATATCACAGTTTCTCTGACACCAGGAGTCCTAACAACGAATTCATTTAGCATGCTCCCTTCACGGATGAGGTGTCCTGTTTGTATTAGGATTTGGTCGTATTGTCTTTAGAACTGCAGAGCAAACAGAAAAAACTTTTTTTCCCCCCAAAAGGTGCAAACACCAAATGGAGAGCTGGAAGAATATTCTCACTCTGAGGTAGAGCCAACGCTTTGGGGAGAAGAACCAGCAAATGTTTGACATTTTCTGCTGAGCAAACAATCATGCAAACACTTCAACATCCATTAGAATATCTAATAAGGATGCAAAGGAACATTTCCTTTACATGTCTGAAAACTAGAAGCTCAATAAGGCCCAAGAAGTTCCCAAAGGAAAGGCTGGGACCCCCTTTAGATCCTGAAGGGCTGGACCTGGTTTGGGACACTTTAAACTTAAAAGTGAAACATTGGGCCAGAGTTGTATTCCATATTTGTTCTGCATGCATGTTCTGAAAAGCTCACAAGAAGCAAAAACTCTGAAAGCAAAAGGTCGATTGCTCACCTGTGCTCAGGTGTGAAGGTGTTGGCATCCTGGCTGATGGGGGCGCAGGGCACGGCGAAGGGCGGAGTGTGGCTGTGGACTGGGAGGGCCTGCTGGTTGGGGGAGCCGGTGCTCGCTGTGATAGGCTGCTGAACGTGAACGGGACGCTGCCCTGCGGTCGGGTTGGCTACGTGGGGGTGAGGATGGGGAGGAGGGGGGGTCTGCTCGCTCAGTGGGTGCGTTACTGCTGTGCTGGTGGGGCCGCAAGGAGAGACGGGGGTCGAGGGGGGAGTTAATGGCTTGAACCCGGGAGTGGGCTTCCTGTCACAGGCACTGAGGAGGAGAGAGAGTCAGAAGAGGTTTTAGTCACAGCGGGATGATCGATACCACTTCCTGTTCTCATTCATGCGAGCGCTCTCGACGTACCTGTAGCTGTAAAGGCACTTCTCTCCGTAGGGCATGGGACTCCGGTCCTGGCGGCAGGGAGAGAGCTCTTCGGAGGGGGACAGCTCTCGTTTGATCTTGGCTGGTGGCGGGCCATGAAACATCACTACAGAGGAGGAGACAAACAAGAGAGTGCATTAGATAAACTCCAGATATGTCCAAACTGAAGCCATGAGCAGAAGTGCAGCAGTTATCTTAACCACATTTAAATGGATGGATTATGGATGTATGGACGGCGTCTACTCCCTCGACTGAAAGAGACACTTAGCAGCCGTTTATCATCCCCCACTAATGAGTGCCGACTCTTTGCTCTGAACACATCCATCCATCCGACACAGCTAGGTAGCACAAACTAACGGCACTGTACACACAGAAGCTATCAAAGCCCTCGTCTGATTCCCATTAGAGCAGGCCAATACCAATACCCATGAATCAGTGTGGCTGTAATCTAATGGCGATGAATGATTTTCTTCTCCCGTGCTGTAACCATTAGACACTGGCTGCAGCTTCCGGGGCGCCACATAATAGCAGGGCAGAAACTGGATCCCCTGGCGCAGAGGAGCGGGAGCCAAATAAATCAGCCGTGGTGCTGATGGACCTGCGCGGGGCTAACAATGGGCACGTGAGCTCCTGGGTGCACGCTCTGCAGCCTAATGGCTGGACGGAGTCTTCTCACACAGGGGAGAGTAAATAATGGAGAGATTAGGCAACTTTGGACGGGTGAACAGGGGGCTGGATTAACAAGCAAGTGCACTAAACTCTTCTTCTGCACAGGGATGTGAACTGCCAAGAATCTGTTGATATAATAAGGATCAGGATAATGTAAGTATTAAAGAGCTCTACAGATACAGCAGATTTACATTTTTAAACTGAACCAAGCCCCGACCTTTTTTAAACTTATTTCCAGGTGTTTGCGTTCACAGGTGCAGCTCACCCTGAATATGTTTTTAAGAGAGCAGGCAGGTTTTTCTGTTTCTAATACGGCCAAATGAAATGTATTGCTAGTAGGGCCACAAAGCGTCTCAGGACACGTGTGCTACTAAGGCCGGTCCGAAGCTATCCTGACCACAGGAGGGATTCACACGAGGACACATCTTTGAAAAACAGCTCCTGCATTTTACCCTGACAGTGCTCAGTCTCTGTAACTCCCTCTGATGCTACTCGCTCAAGAGGATGTCAACAACTAGAGTAATGCATTTCACTCGATGTTTTCAAAGAGTGAGCATCATTGTCTGGAGAGTTTGTAGGTTACATTAGCAGAGACCACTTTTTATGGCAACCAAGACCCAAAACTCTGAGCTGACAAGTTTTACTTTTCGTCTGAATTCAGCAAAAGATTCCCTGGAACGTCTGCACAGCATTTTGTGCAAACTCAATCAAGGGAAAAACAATTACCAATATCTGTTTAACAGACACTCTTGCATGTCATTCAACCAAAGAAAAGCACTTGAGTACAGGCACCTTTTTTCATTAAATGTGATATTCAAGATTTAAGTTGATCCTCCGCTCAACAGAAACTTTAGAAAGAGGTCAGTGAAACCATGTGATGTCCTAATGACTGGAGCTGATATCAAAACATCAAGTTTGGGTGAATAGGCAGTTTGTGAGAGCAAGCAGTCTGCAGCCTAGCAATAGAAACAACTGCCAACTCCACTACTCTGTTCCCACACACACAAAGTGCACCCACAAGGTCAAAGACAACCCCACAGCAGTATTTACAGTGTGCTGACTACATGCAGTATAAACCTACACATGAACACAACCTCCAAAAGGCCCTCTAGAAGAATACATACATGTCAATGCATTGACCTAAATAATACGTTGCAGCTCTGCAGCTCGGCGGTCAGTTTGCAGCTTTCTGAGCCGCAGAAACCAAGATTTATAGAGGCAGCGCTGACAAAGACAGGCAGCCACCACACCCTGTCTCCACCTCCTACGCGTCAGACCAAAACACAAACTCTGAAAGTCAGAGGGGAGGAGGGGGGGGGGGGGGGGGGGGGAGTTCATAAAATGCTCCATTGGGCATAATTCAAATGTATCCTTCAGCTGCAGGCTTAAAATCAGAGTGCAGACACAAACAGGCGGGACAGTTTTTTTAGGGGATGCGAGTTCTGCTCTGAAGTCGCCCCATCCGCTGGAATCTAGCCCACTTCAGCAGCAGGGCCCGAGTGCGGGAAAGTGTGAAATCAGATTAGAGGCTTGGCTCATGTGATGCCCCATGCCAATCGGCTGATAAAACTCAAAATGGAGGGAGGGAGGAAGAGGGAAGAGGAGGGAGGAAGAGGGGGGGGAGGGCAGCCTTTCCCAGAGCTGTGTTTTTGAAGAGGAAGGATGGTGTTTGTCCTCGGCTGGATGGAGACATTTCAATAAACGATGGGTGAGCTGGATGTCTTGGTCAGGGACGGTAACTCAAAAAGAACAACAGCTCTTTCTTCAAAGCAGAGAAGAAGCCCACGCACTCTCTGTTATGAAATCTTCTGATGCAGTGCTGCCACTTCCTTCCTAATCATAGTCAGCTTTTTTATCGAGCTGCAGATTCTTTTTTTTTTTTCCACACATGTACTCAAAAGACGAACAAAGAAGAGATAAAAAAAAAAAAAAAAATCAGGTACTCACAGCTATCCGACTGGAAATCTGGGACAAACTGTTCGTCATCAGGCACCTGGGCTGTACACACAAACGAGAACGATGCACAAGTGAGAAAAACACAACAAATAAAGACACGTTTATGACCCTCCTGATTACTCTACACATCAATGAAAACAATAAGGGGATTATAAATCTGCAGGAGAGGTACATCTGCGTTGTTTTGGGCAACCTAAAAGCGACCGTGGTCAGCAGTTTCTCTTGCAGAGGACTTTGCCCTCCTCGCTCGACTAGCTAAAACAAAAAAAATGCAATATTTCACACACTCATCAAGTTAATATGTAAACTGGAAACTCAGAGATACAAGAGAACTCTGCAGCGGCTGGTTATAGGTGAAGGTGAAACACTCAAACTTATGTAAGAAACAGATAGAAATGAAGTGCATAAAAACGGTTTCATGTCTTTAGGAGATGTTGTCTTCATGCTCTCGGTGCAGGACAAATTCTCAGAGGGACAATAAAGGTTTAATTCAAATCTGTATGGTTGTTTTGATTTAATTCTAGCACTTCCAGTTCTCCCAATTCACTTGAAAAAAAGCTGAACTCAACTTTAAATCAGTGCCACTCATCTCATCTTCACCGGCTAATATTCTTGATTCACATATTTTAAAAGTCAGCATTACTTTAGCACCGTTATTCCCCTGAACTATTCCATGTGCACTAACTTCAAAGGTGCAATAATATCTTCAGAGTGTGCATTTATCTCTACAGTTTGAAGCTTGATCTGAAGGCAGCTGGAACACGTTTTAGAGATCTTCAACTTAGTCCAGTCGACTTTGGATCAAGCTTTGGATTTACCTGACTGACCTGGAGGACTGAGAGCCTTCACAGACATTATTATCGGAAAAAATATATTTTACCCAGTTCATATGAGCGCGCGTGTGTGTGATCGAGCGAGTGTCAGAATGACGTCAACTGCACGTCTTCTTCTCAAAGATCGACAGAAAGTTTGGTTTTTAGTGAGCGATGAAAATAAAGGCGCCCATTCAAACGCTCTCTAAAAGCATGCTGCAGTGTTTAAAAGACGGAGGAGGTATTGTAATGTTCATGAGGAGGAACTCATCAAATATTCAAACAAAAGTAGAACTCACCTTCTGCAATCCAGATCTCTTGCAGCTGACTGAGGTCTTGGAAAAGTTCTGAAAAAAAAAAAAAAAACAAGAACATCGAGATGATGAGCCCGGCTGTATCTGCATATTTAAATTTAAAATACAGTATTTACTGTTTATCTAACATGTGCAGGTTTAACATATTTACCTTCTGTGTCCTGGGCGAGCTCTGTGTCCACAAACTTCCTCTTCCTGTCGATCAGAGGCCTGCTGTGAGACGCTTCCTCCACGTGAGACTTGTGCTGTTGGGGAAGGAAGAAGAGGCGTCAGACGTCACTTTGAGACCGATCTTTATAAATCTAATGATCTGCGGCGAGGTCCGACTATAAAAAGGCGCTGCGATGATGTGATGTGTGAGGCTGGCATGTGTGTCCACTACTTACGCTGGGAGGGACCATAAAGGGGACTTGCTGGTCGTAGAATCCATCCATGTTATCTGGGTGATTGGGGGGCGCCAATATTTGAAGGGGGGAGGGGGAGGTGTTCGCTTTAAAGCGACAGCGCCTGGGTCACTGGAAAACACACAATGGGAAGCACACATTAACACTCAGGAGATCGGAGAGCTGCGACGACTCGTGATGGAAAAATAAAAAGTCTGCAGCTAGTTAGACAAACGCTTCGATGATACTTCTGAGCTCTCTTCACTGTAAATATGATCTCCCCTTTGGTCATTTTCAACAGTTAATAACAAGCTTGGGGATTCTTTGCAACATGACGACGGCACTTTGGGATCCTGAGGAGCCTCTCTCACACGCTTCCTTTAAAAGCTTCATGGACATAAACATTTTTGAATAGTCCTGTTACGTGGGATGAAACGTATCTTCCCTAACTCCCTCTCTGCAGAACATTATCCTCATCTTTGAATATAAATCATACCTAAAATCTGTGAGCTTCCCGTCTCTTGTAATAAGCCATACAGTGATGCATTCATGGTCTTCCTCTTCCTACATTGATGCTGCAGAAACTTGTTCCTTTCAGCCTTTTTATTCAGTGGCCACAGAGAGGAAAGCAGCACGATGTAAACAAGGCGCCGTCATCATGTAATAGAGTTATATAAGCCACACTCACTGGCCATCTGCAGGCACTAGTTTTCCACTATAATCAGCTTGGAGATCTTGAGTAAAAAAGACTTAGAAATGTGACACTGCAGAGTCTGCCTGAAGTCTGTGACGTGCACGACTTAAAGCCGTCCAAAGGAGATAGAAAACAAAAAGGACGGGTCAAAGAGCTGATTAGAGTCTTACAGAGCTGGCAATAACCTGGACTCCTTTACTCCAAACACTATGAGCCAGAAAAGTTTACTTTGAACGGCTGTGAACGACTTGATAAAGCTCCAAGGCTGCCCCTCTATTCTCACATCTCCCTGTGATATGACTCACTCCTCTCTCACTCCTCGATGTGCCGCTAACGGATGACGAATCCAGGATAGCTGCAGGGCAGTAATTACAGACGCACAACACGGATGACAATTACAACATCAGGACCCCCAAAGTGCATGCACTCGTGTGGACGATAACACGCCAACACAGTCGAGGCTAGGGAGCTCAAAAATGTACCCAAGACAAGATTTAAACATAGGAGTTCGGTCATTAGAATAAACTTCAACATGGGACATTTTTATAAGAACTGCACGGACCATGAAGCTGTAAATGTTTGGGAATAATGAAGTTATAATGTGCAGAATGTTCCCTGAACGCAACACAAGCTGGTAGTGATGAGAGTGGCTTATGAATTTATTTATTTTTACTCTAAAAAATTAAGAGTCACGCATTTCGAGGCACAGAAAATATACTTTGGACACGTGTTTTGAATTTGCGTGCAATTCTAAGTTAATTAATTATTTTGTAAATCTTGTTAGATAACCAGAAACTTACTGTGGACATAACCCACTTTTTAATCCTCAAAACGACTTAAAATATTACAATTATTAGGAGATCTTGCACATGTGTTCCTTCTAACAAATAAGAATCATTAATACTAATATTCATTTTTATTTCAGGTTTTTTTTTTTAATTAAGATTTAATGACGTAATTTTGGGGCTTTTTGTGGAAACAGTAAAGACTAGTAATGTATTTAATAACTTCACTGATATTTGTTAATATATAACAACAATTAGAGGTCAACACATGACTACATTTGTCTGAATTATACAAAAACAACCTAAGACGTAAAGAGCCGAGACAAATGGTCCGATCGCACGAAGTTTCCGAAATTCCCATCAAGGAGAAAGCTCGACAAAAAGTTCCCCACATGCAGAAATCCGAAGTGAACGTGAAATCTGCAGCTTTGTTGTCTCTGTGGTTTGAAAGAAGTAAACAGGCAAATTTGGCAACGGCGTAATCCAAACCAACTTCTATAACAGCCCTGAAATGACAAAATCGGCCAAATTTTGCACAAACTTTTACGAAGAAGGAGAAAGGTGAGGGGGGGCGAGGATCAGCAGACACCCCCCCCCCCCCTTCACACTCCTCCTCTCCCCCACGCCCTTCCCCCACCCTTCTCTGCCTTGTTTTTCTCAATGAAGTGAAACTCGACCCGTGTGGAAACACAGAGGGAGGGAGAGACAGAGAGAGAGAGAGAGGAAAAAAAATGGCCCGTCCATTCATAAAAATCACAAACAGTCGCCTCACCGCGCAGATAAGCTAAAGCAAACATCCACGCAGATACAATCTCGGGTCAAATACAATCCACGCTGCGCTTGAAAAAGCCTCTTAGTGGGTATTAAACGCAAAAAAAGGAGCCGATTTAAAATGGTTGGCAAAGTAAATATCTTTAAAATAAGATGGCGTTGAGGTCGTTTGTACTCTTAAAAAAAAAGAGCGTCAAAAAAACATCTAGCGAAAACAAGGCTTCGTAAAAAGCAAAGTTCTCGCCGAAATAAACACTGCAGCTTACCTGGTTCCGGTCTAAATCCGTCCGTTACTTCGAAAGAATGCCGTAAGAATATCCACAAATAAAAAAAACAACGTGTCGATAGTCGTAGAGTCGCCTGCGCACGGACAAACTGCTGCTCCTCCGTCGACTAGCAAAACTTGACTGAGCTTTTCGTTAATGGCCCGGTCGGTTTTCCCCAGGGCTCGAGCGGCACACAGAGACACACGCTGATTGGTCGAACGCCGCTGTCCGTTAGGAAGCGAAGCCAATGGTGGCCGGGTAGCTTATGAATTATGCATGACGACCGGTTCGGCCAATCAGCACGCAGCAGAGGACTATTTTTATGAATGGCTGGATTTCATTCACATTTTTTTTCAGGCATCAACGCCAAGACGCGTTTGTTAAAGGGCCAGCTGCAGTGGAAATGTACTAATGGCTGCTGTGGCAACGTCAGTGTCACGCTGTCTCTCTCTCTCTCTAACGATAGATTATTACTCTGAAAGAACACATTGGATTTTAAATGTGCTATTGGCTTTGTCACACAGCGCCACACTGAACAAATCATTAAAGTGAGAATTTAAAGTTGATTTTTAACAGCGTAGTAATGGAACAGATTCAGCAGAGTGACGCAAATGTCTCAGGATTAATATGGATAAAAAGAAGGGGATGTATTTTAAGTAAAAGATCGAAATTAATAGATTATATAATTCACACTTTCATACGTCAAACTCGTTACACAACTCCTTTATATCACTTTTATTTTATTGCAAGCATTATTGGCCTCATAGTCAAATGCTCACACCTGCTTGTTTGCCCAGAATTTTTAATTATAAAATATATTAATTCATATATAAATACAGCAAACAATACTTTGATGTTAATGAGCACCTCTGAGCTCTACAGGTAGACAAACATGTGATGCTGAGTGAGAACAACACGTCACAAGTACTGATAAGATTACAATGTTTTATGGACATTTATTGACGCTACAGGATGTAATTACCTTCAGTGATGAGCTGACATTTCATGTGGCTTTATTGGATTTAATCCTGTTCCTCCTGTTCCAACCCTGTCCTCATTGTTCAGTTCTTATTGCCAAGTATTTTCTTTTATCTGTACCCGTTCAGACCATGTACGTCTATCTCTGTGTGTATCAATAAAATACAGAAACCAGGACATTTGTTATAAACACTGAAATAATCAGTCTAAGTTTCAGCAATCTGCAGCTCAGAAGCGGAAAACAACTTTTTTCTTGATTCTTGATTTGCATTTTCTACCTTTAATATGTGAATTAACAGAGCTGCAGAGTAACAGGTGGCGTTCATTTGGAGACATGTGCACCTGATCGTGACAGAGAGGACAATAAACATCACCATGTGCCCCTCTGATATGTATTAAGGTGTTGTAAAGATATTGCATCAGGCAGAGTTACATGAATGAATGTGAATTTGGATGAACAGGCCCCATGTGACAGCTGCTCTGCTGGTGTTTTCTACCTCAGGAAGTTAAAGCAGACATGTTAACGGAAAACCCTTTTGTTCACTCAAACCTTGAATTATTTTTTAGAAACAAATAAAACATGGAGAGGGCAACACTCGGTGAAAACAGTCTGAAAATCCTCAGATAAAACATTGAAGACTATAGCTCAGTGACTGTGATTAAACTTTAAACATGCCTTTATGCCACAGTTTCTTTGTTTTTTAAGGTTTGCCTTCATCCTGTCGTCTCTAAATATCAGGTCAGTAAGAAGACGACACAGTTTGATGTTTTGCAACCGAAGCTTTTAACAAATTAGCATCCTGGGAACTATGTTTGTGGGTTAGCATTGAGCCCCCGTTTGAATATTTCAGAGTCTTCGTCGTCTTCAATCTTTTGGATGAAATCCTGAACCCTTACATTTAAAAAAAGACAAATCTTTGTTTTATTCAGACTAAAAAAACTTTAGGGCTCTCTAGGGCTCTGGATAGCCTAGCGGTTATATCACCCCGCATTATACCACCGAGGCTGTAGTCCTCATCGCAGTGGCCGTGGATTTGAATCCGACCTTGGCCCTTTGCTGCGTGTCGTCGATATGGAGCGAGAAAGCCCGAGACACCCGAGCCCTTCCAGAGAGGGGGCATGGTCAGACACAGCTCATTTACATTTAAAGGTACAGACACAGAAACAGCCTGTTCTGAGCAGGGCTGAAATAGAGGGGTTTACAGACATGATCAAATACAGGATCAGAGTGGATTTAGAACAGGAAACTTCACACACATGTTTTGAGGAGCTCTTAGACTTATTTACACTGGATGAAGAGGAGGAGAATATGTGAGCTTTAAGGTGTTAACGACACTCTGCTGATAAAGTAAAGAGGTTGACAACAGCGCAGAGTTTTTCTCTGAATGTTTTTTGAAAGTATGTCGTTTATATACAGATACAAATCTGGAGATGTACTCCGAGGATCTTCAGACGAATATTATGAACAGTTAAAGTCTTGATGGTCATAAAACCATGAGAGAAATATACGACATCACGACTTGTCTGTGAGCATTTGTTCGTGTGAAGGAGCGGCTGTCGAGACCCAAAGGTTTAAGGTCATAAATAAATAACCTTTCTCATTATCACCCCGGCGTCCAGATTAGGAATCCCTCATATAAACTCTCCTTCCCTGCAAACGTCACTCACAGTTTAAAACAAAATGCAGCAGCTGGCCTGAAAACTATAATCCCTGTCAAATCCCTGCGACCACGATGTGAAGATTATGAGCCCGCTGCAGAGGCAATAATAGCAGGAAAAGACAAACACATGCAGCCGCCACATAGGACGCACAGAGCTATCTTTGTTAGACACGCTCAGAGGTCGAAAGGCCAAAGGCAAACAGCTTGTCTTTCACTGTACGCGCTCCGTTTGGAGATGAAGAAGAGGAGCAGAAATGTGGAGGTGAGAGGCCTTCAAAATATCGTCTGTCAGATTCAATATGTGTGGAGCGTTAAACAGCAGAGGACACATATCAGTAAGACTATTCCAGAAGCTGCAGCCTGCAGGTCCACTGTGTGTGCACCTCTTCTGAGCTGCGGATGTGGTGGGTGGTCACTTGGAGGCGTGTGGAGCGAGCGCGAGCACATTGTGTTGCTGTTCTTACTCTTTCCTTAAATAAATGTGCCATATGCAAACAGGGTGACATGCTGCTTTCTATACATATACCTCTCTCTCTCTCTCTCTCTGACTGAGTGTGAAAGTGGGCGTCCTGAAGGCGGATTTTTAAGCGCTGATTTCCTGTTCCCTCGAAAACGAATGCTACTGTAGGTTAGTGTGACACTGACATAACAGCCAGGTCACCAGAGCCGCATTGGTGTCATGTGTGCTAATCCTGATACCAAGAATCCTTCACTAAGCTCCAAAAGACACTACACATTGAACCCGCTGAGGCGTACACCAACGGTCACCTTGATGGATCAGCGATCTGCCGCAGCTCTGAGGTTAAGAGTTAATGTTTGATCCTGGCAACAACACCACAAGGTCCATTAAGTGGCTGTGGAGCTCATGAACATATTACATCATCCTCATCAGCTGATGCAGTCTTCCTTGGAGTCGGCAAATTGTTGTCCATGTTTGGAGACACTTGGTTGTTTGTTTCTTATCGGTTTAAAAAAGCGACCTCAACAGATTTATGATCGTATTCCACTAAAACAGTTAAAGGAAAGTTAATGTTCAATTCAGCGAAACTGAAGAAACAATCAGGACGTTTACATGTTTACACATAAGTCAAGCAATGGTTATCGGGCCTATCAGGCCATTTAATTGTTCTTCTGTCTTTTGGTGCATTCATGTCGGACACATCGGAAAAACAAGTTACCGAACACCTGCTCAAGTCGGAACAACAAGTCGGAAACTCGGAAAATAATTAGGTGTCCGACTTGACAACATGACGACTTCACGTCAGAAGCATCATCACATCGGGGGGCAAAAGATGTTTTGTTAATGTTCAATTCCTTTTAATCAATTCAGGTATTGCACATAAACTTTTTGCTCAAATATAACTCGTAGCAGAGACATTCACACATTTTCTTCGTAGCATGACAACTTTCCGACCTGAAACCATGGGAACACACTGCCTGGTTGTTGTATTACGTGTAATTAGTATCCGCTACTTCTCCAATTAAAAAAAGCTCATTGTCAAAATGTGTTGGATTTTTTTTTTTATTATAAAGGAGCAGCATGTAACTCTGACCCCTAGTGTTTAAATTGGGTACTGCAGTCCAGATTCTAAACATTGTAGAGAGCTGTCTCCCCCCGCCCCCTCCTCTCTAGAGTCGATGCTCACGCAGGTTGCCATGTGGTGGACACTGAAGCTTCAGTGTTTAGCCAGCTCTGCATCTGTCTGTAAACCTTTCTGTGTTCTAACCTCTCTCCATTTTTCAAAAGCATCTCCAATATTGATCCTAGTTTGAGCACGTTTCTGCTCGTGGAACTTATTAGAAACATGCAGAGGCTTTTTAGGTCAGGTACAATCACTTCTATCTGAACCAGTTCTCTTCCCCGCTTCCATCACTGCAACACCTGTTGGTTTGCCTTCTCGGGCTTTGGAGAGAGTGGGGAATAACGTGCGGGAAAGGAGCCAGACTTGCGTCAGACTTTTCAAACTGCACTGGATCCCCCGCTTCCTGCTCTATTGCATTACAACCACCTTTCTGTCCAACGTGCAGGTACCTGACATGATCACATACTACAGCATCCGTACATGGGACACACAAACACTAACCACTACGCTACAGGCACCCCTAAACATGAATAGTTGGTATAACTGAGAGCTCCTGAACGACTAAAGAGGTCTCATGGTTACAGTTCTTTCCCAGCTATCGCTCCTCTGTTAACCAAACTCTAAATAAAACCACAAAGAATAATATTGGTTCTTGGTCTTTAGCCCGTCAGTAGACGTCACCTTTAATCTCTGCTCAATAACAGTCACTGTGTGGAAGCAGAAGACGGTGAGAGGCTTCATAATGAAGAGTGTTGGCGGTCCGTCCCGGCTTGCAAATGTCTGTCAAAGCGCACATTTGAAAACGAGTTAAAATGGGAAAGTAGTGCCTCTGGGCGCAGGATGCTCTCTCACTGAGGGACAAGATGTGACTTGTCTGCTATTAATAGCACTTTGGGAGATAATTCCTGCCTTGTTATCTTAGCAGCCG